ATAGACTGGTGCACAGGAATGGATCAGTCAGTGATGGGAAAAGCAAATGTTCGAAGCAAGCTCTTAAGGGTTTGCTACTTATAACAGAAATGAAGACTTCCATCCATATCTTGATTTATTTTCAAGCAAGGTGGTGTGTCATTCTATATGCAATATAATCACGTATTAGACATCATTATTATTTGCATTAACCTTAATTTATACGTGAGAAAACAGAAAGCCTCAGCACAGGAACATAAATAACTTCTGTCTTTCAGAACAGAAAGATAAACAACGTATAATATAGGCCCAAGTTTTCACAGATGGTAAGATGTAGAGCTTTCTGACCCTAGAGCCTCCCCTGAAGAACGGCTGCTGCTAGCCCATATGGTACCCCCAAGAAACTAGACAACAGCACTCCATTTCACAAGTTGATACTGTCAGACAACCTGAATGGCTGTTCCCCAGGGGAGTTATCCAGAACACTGACTGCCCAGCCTGTACACACACAAGTGCCGGTACTTTTACCTACTCCCACACTGGCCATATCCTCAACACAATTTGAAAATACTGTGTGTTGCCCCTCCACTTCTCTGGTAGCCAATTATATCAAGTTCAAAGTTGGGGAATGAGAAGAAAGACTTTGAAAGTGCCAGGTAAGTGAAAGAAGCAATCTTGGGAGTCACCAGGAGCTCATTCAGGACAGATGTAACTTTTGCCCATGTGTGTGCCAGTCTGTGAGTGAATGGTCTCCTGAGTGTATTTGTGTGGCCATATGCACCCCATGTAAATGTGTTTTATAGCCAACATCTTTAAAAAACGTCACACATACTATTCTTAAGGCACATCTGACAACATATTTTATAACACAGTAGGTGTCAGAGGATATTTAATATATGATTTCTTCAGGCTCTCTTCCCTTTCTGAATTCCAAATGGAGGAACTGAACATGTGAGATAAAGACTGGCAATCCATATTCTGTATTTGGCAAGCTTGCACAAGTGCTGTTGTGAATGTAGTGTAAAATAACTATAAATTGGGAACTTCTTTGGTTTATGAAACACCATTCAGGACTGCTGCTTCTTGAGTGTTTTCTACTTTTAAGATGTTAATCATTTTTTCTCCTGGAGTACATTGTAGTTTAGAAATTTCATTGCCAGATGCACCAGTTGGACCATTCATTGCCTTTTTTAAAAGACCAGGCTCTTCAATCGCATCTTCTGCTTAGCCCATTCCATCCATCAGAACAGCATTCTCATCAGTCTTTCATCTCTGAGACTGCCTGGCATCGATGTCTGCAGGCTGATCTGATTCTGTATTATCCTATGAGCTGTATGGATTGCTGTCTGGATCTTTGAGCTCAGAACTAATGGTGGATTTGCCACCGCATGGTCCACCACAACCTCAACCTCCCTGAAACACTTCTGCCTCTTCCTCCTAGGGGTCTTCTGCTGTCATGCTGATGTTGGCTATCTTGTCTCCTGCTAATGACCAATCACCCTGCTCATCTTTATGTTCAGATTCTGTTTCAGAGGGGTTAAATAGCTTAGAGTTTGTATCATAATTAGGGCCTTGACAACCTCTGCCTCTTCCACTATAAAACTTAGAACCTTGTGCAGATGACATGATACTGTTAGGTAGATAGTTAGGATTTCAGGTCTCCTTGGGAAAGAGGACAAAAAAAGCAGGTGCCCAGCTCCTAGTCTTGGTGCTACCCCACTCTAATCCTATCCCAAGTGATTTCCCACCAATCAAAACTTAACGTGCCAACTGCAAAAGATGCAGAGGACTCTAGCCCACAGGCCAAGCAGCATAGGTACATTCTGCAGTGACCGAGAATAATCACCTAATTATTATGCCATTAGCTGAATCTACACTGTGGTTCACACTACCGCTCCCTCACCATGCCCTTCCAGAGACTTATGGGAGGTCTGCATGCTCAGTAAGTCTCCGTGGTTCCAAGGTGACTGCTGAACCATGAGGTGCGCCCAACCCAGACAGTATAAAATAGAATCCCTGGTGATAACCAAAGGCTTTTTGTCATAAAAAACGAGGCTTGTTTGTTATCTATGGTGAATGTATATTGCTCTATAAATCTGTATATTGCTCTTGCTCTGTAAACCTATCTTTCTGTTCCTCAAACTTTGTTTCACGTTTGCCTTACTTTGGGGGTATCTGGTCATTCTTTGGCCAAGAGCAGAGCACCCCAAGAACCAAGAATGGAGACAGCTGCTTGAACCCCAACAATACTTTCACCAGTGCACATCCTTTCTCATTTTCAAACCCTCTGGTGGAAGGTCTGAAACCCACACTAATCTGTTGCAGTGGTTCACCAATCTGTAGGAGTTCCATTCTTAGCTGTTCTACTAAAAGAACTCGCACATTTCAGATACTTTCTTTAATGCCAACAAAGGTAGTTTGTTTTCATTGTCTCCTTTAATTCTCACCTGAATGACACCAGATTTTTCCACAATTACTTGGATAACTTTCTCATTATTTCCCAATTACTTTTCCAACGAGATTCCTAGGAACCCAAATAAAAGCCTCCACAAATTCCAAGAAGCCACTAGCCTTTTTACAGCACTCTTCATAAATTATAAATGTCCCAGCATCTTCATCTAGCTCAGTAGGGGTAACACCAAGAACCTCCCTTGCTTGCTATATATTACCACCACTTGTTCCTATTGCCAGATCCATTAATTCTTCTCTCTCAACAAATTGCTCATGGAAAGCTGCTGAGAGTTGTTTGTGCATTTTAGATGCTTAGTGGCCTCTTCACTTCTGGACATAAGCATCAACTTCCTATCAATACTTTGCAAATTCATGTCACTTAAAAAATATACTGCTTCACAATATAATTAGCTATGTGTTTTCTGGATGAAAAAAATTCTGCATGCTCTTACTACTTTCTTAAAATCTTTATGATTTTCATTTTCATTTTCATTAGCTCAAGCCTCTCTCAAATCCTCAGGAACATCATGGTGCATTTAAGGAAGGTACTTTTTGGTGAATGTTTTATTTTGATTGATAGGCCAAAGTCCTTTAAATGTGACTATTTCATTGTAAGAAGCATCCCAAGCAACATATTCAATGACATAAAATTCTCCTTTTAATCATTCAAAATCTAGCAAACCGCTACTTACTTGGTTCTTGATCATTTGCTCTTAAATATACCTCTACCTCATCTCCATCACTGACTTCTTTTTTTACATCAGGTGGTGGTATTCTAAATTAATTGAATGAAACGTGGTGTTCTGGTTGCCGATTTTTTAAAAATCCAACTGTGAGGGGGTCTTCATAAACATTTTTGATAAATCCCTTTTAGAAAGCCTTGTGGGAGCCACAAACCTTCTCTGTCAGCTCTGCCATGTTGGAACCATAAAGGCCACTCCCAGCATAAATTTGTATAGGATTCAGCTCTCCATTGCTACAGAACTTGGCCAGGAGGTCTGGAATGTCCAGACCTGCCTGGTTTCTGCAAATTAATAAATGTATATGATGTGAATTGTACACTGTAACACCTGAACACCCTCATGCTGTGGCCTCCTAATCATTCTTTGGTTCATTAGAGAATTGTCGAATGTCTGTTTGCATGTAAACCCCTGTCCTGGGCATTATGGGAGATTCAAAGACACCCTTTCTTACTGTCAAGAAACAATTTTCAAGTAAGAAAAATGTAAACATAAATAGCTCTAAGATACAAAGTGATATGTTCTATAAGTAACAAAAAACTACTAGATGGATTCACAAGAGGAAACGCTTATTTCAGTTTGGTTAATTAAAGAAAATTTCATGAAGATTAGCATTTGAGGAGTGGCTTGGAAGGTGGAATTTAGATGTGAAGAGATGGAAACAAGAATATTTTGTAAGGAACAGAATAATGTGAAGGTGTAGTACAGACTTGGAAATAGTGAATACTTAACATTTGGCAAAGCCTAATCTAAGCTAATGGCCAACTATAAAAGGAATGAAAAATTTCTTAAATGTCTATGTACAACTATTCCAAAAATATATAACCCTCTTTGATAACCAGAACATGAATTCACTCAAAAACATTACCGAAGTCAGGACAAGGCTTTGTTATTATGTATTTTCTTAGTCAACAAATAGCAAGGGTGCAGCTACTAATAAGTCTTTATCAATACTTGTGGTACCAGGCAAGTTTTTGTGAGTTTGTTCCTTCATCTCCAGAGTGGAGATTATAAAGCCTACCTTGCTTGTTTTGATGATTAGACGGCACATTTTAGGTGCTCAGGAAGTCCCAAGTATTAGAAAATAAAACACTGAGGTCAAATCAGAGTCCACCATAAATATCAAGCTAAGGAACGGCTATTTTTTTCTTGGACAGTACAGTTGTTTAAATTTTGTCTCAGTGACAAAATAAATGAATAAATAAATCAAGAAATCAGGAAATAAATTTAAAGGTTATTGCAGTGGTCCACGCAAGGCATAATGGGGCACTAGTATTGGAATTTCTGGACTATTTCGGACTATCAACTACTGGATTCTGGATTTACTTACATATGAAGAATGTTGGATAAGAAAGGATGCTAATTTTGATCTAACTGGTGCTGTTAAACAACATCAGAAAGTCAACAGAGATGATAAGTTCAGTTTGAAACATTTTGAGCTTAAACTCCTAAAATCCTGGCTGAAAATGGAGCGCACAAAGCGCTAAACAAGATCTATGCAGGAAACAAGGACCTAGAGATTTTGCTTCTTTTCTTAAAGTCTCCGAGTTGTTTAAGCAAAAACTTACAAAGCTTTTTTTCTTTTTAAATGACAGCGTGGTACAATTTTGGGACAAGTAGTTGACGTATCACGGACTTAGAGAAAAAGTGTTCAGAATGCGCGAAAAGCGCCTTTAATCCAGAAGGTCCAGCGCCCCGGTGACGTTACCACGCCGCGAGGCGCGCTTGCGTCATTCCCACCGAGGCGCAGGGGGCGGGGTGACTCCCGGCAGCGCCGTCGCGCCCCCCCTAGTGGCAGCGGGTCTCAAGGCCACCCTCTGTTTCCTGGGCTCTGCGCGGTGTAGCGTTACCTTAGCGGCCAGCCTGGCTCTGTGCTTGCGCCCAGACCCCCTGCGGCACAGCTCAGCGCCAGGCGACGGGCGACGCCTCGAGGTAAAACCGAGGAGGTGCGGGAGCGGGAGGCGGGCCCTGCGTCGGCCCTGGAGCTCCAGAGAAGCCCAGGCTTTAGGCCGCAGGGGCGGGTGCGATGGCGCAGGAGCGGGTGAACTGCAACTTTGACTTGACCCCAGATTGTGAGGCAGCGGCGACTGCAAAACCTACGGTGCCCGCAGTGGAGACCCCCAAATACGCCGCAGAGTCCCCGGAGGACTACGACAGCAAGTGCGTGTTCTGCCGGATCGCGAGGCGCCAGGAACCTGGCACCGAACTCCTGTACTGTGAGGTCGGCAGCGACGTACGGCGGGTGTGGCTGCGAGGGGTGGCAGGCCTCGCCCGTGTGGTCGGGGACTGGGGGGATCCCCATCGCCACTCAGCGGGCCCAGGCATGGCTGCCCTATTTGCGTGGGGCTGAACGAAGCTAGGGATTCTACTATTAATGACAAACTTACTTTTCTCGGGGAACGTTGGTCTCTAGCTGTATTTTTGCTGTTTGGTGGGGAGAAAAGATGATGACAGAGCTAAATACCTCTGCCTGGCTGCGTGCGGGTACCGAGGGACTTGGCAGAAACAGCAGTCTGTGGCTTCTGCTTTTATTACAGGGATTCTTCACCCTCCCCTCTTCTAGATACTGATTGTAAAGTCTGCATACTCCAATACTGACACTGAAGAAAAAAATAGTAGAAAATCGGTAATGGTAATTGTGAAAAGCTGTTTGTTAGATTGGCTAAAAATAGGCTTGAAGAGAGTGGGTCTGAAATCGAACTATGACTTTTACGTCTGATTTCCAATGTTGGAATGTGTGGAAACTTCCAGAGTGCTAAGACTTGGCATATGTATGGATATGTTTGGATAGATAGGTAAATTTTTTTAAAACAAGTTTTTCCTCCTGTCGCCCTGGCTACAGTGTAGTAGCTCCAATACAGCTCATTGCAACCTCAAATCTTGGACTCATGGATCCTCCTGCTTCAGTCCCCCAAGTAGTTGGAACGACAGATGTGTACCAACAGGACTGGCTAATTTTCATATATATATATTTTTTGGAACAGTGTTTCACCTTGCACAGCTTGGCCTGGAACTCCTAGGCGCAAGTGATCCTCCTACATTGGCCTCCCAAAGTGCAAGGATTACAGGCTTGAGCCATCTGGGCCCGGCTTGTGCAGATATTTAAAAATAAATTATCTGGCACATACTTTGACCTGCTGGTTCTACTTATCCATGACGAAATAACCTTTTGAGGGCAGCGCCTGTGGCTCAAGGAGTAGGGCGCTAGCCTCATATACTGGGGGTGGCAGGTTCAACCTGCCCCAAGCCAAAACTGCACCAAAAAAAAAAAAGAAAAGAAATAACCTTTTGAGAGAATAAACTCCAAAGATTATGTCTTTTGTAGTAATCAGTCGTTAAAAATAAATAGAATTCCTTCTAAACACTTTGTTTTGGAGTTTCAGTAGTGATCAAGATAAAAGACAGTCAGTCCATGTCCAGATTTATAATCTAAAACAGTGGTTTCCAACCTTCCTAATGCCCCAACCCTTTAATAAAGTTCCTGTGGTTGAAAACTGCTGATCTAAAAGGTGAAATGAATACAGAGGAGGTAGACTGAGTGAGACTGAGGGGGGAAACCGGGCAAGGGCTGTCCGGTCAGATTCTTCATGGTCTCTCTGCAGCATTCCCTCCTCCAGTATATGGGGCAGAACCCCATTCTGAAATGAGAGCCAATGACCAGCAACTAGCAGGTGAAAGGGGAGCAGGAGGTCAGAGAGATTATTGTTGTTGTTGTTGCAGTTTTTGGCCGGGGCCAGGTTTGAACCCACCACCTTCGGTATATGGGGCTGGCACTCTACTCCTTGAGCCACAGGTACCACCCCAGAGAGAGATTCTTTGTTCTGAGGTCTAAAGTGCCCCAATATTATAACAAAAGACTGTAACAAGGGCTATGGAAGTTAGGAGCCAGGAAATGTGATGAAAACAAATACATCTATCATAATATGCAGTAGTGCTTCCAAAATTTGAGTATTTTTTTCAGTTTGAATCTAAGATGATTTGATATACAAGAGCTCACTAATTAAAGGTTAAAGATTAATATTTTATTTATTTTATTTTTTATTTTGAGACAGTTTCTCACTCTTTTGTCCCAGGCTAGAGTGCCATGGGGTCAGCCTAGCTCACAGCAACCTCAAATTCCTGGGTTCAAGCGATCTTCCTGTATCATCCTAAGTAGCTGGGAGTACAGGTGCCTACCACAATGCCTAGCTAGTTTTTCTAATTTTTTGTAGAGACAGGGTCTTGGCTGTGCTCAGGCTAGTCTCAAACTCCTGAGCTGATCCTCCTGCCTGGGCCTCCCAAAGTGCTGAGATCACAGGTATGAATGACTGCACTTGGCTGGGATTAATATTTTTTAAAAAGAGAATAATCATGTAGCATCTAAATTCTGTGTTTTGTTTTAAACATTGAATACATATGAACATATATTCATATATATTCATTCATTGTAAACATTCAGAAGCTATTGGGTTTACATAAAATGAGGTATATTTGTAATTCAAGTACAGAGGAGAAAAATTCTATTAGGAATCATTGGTGTTACCCTTGTCGTGTGGGATTAGTCTGGGAAATACTTGTGACAAAAGCTAGAGAAGACTCCTTACTCTGTAAACCTCTATGTTGTGTTTTTTAGTTGCATACAGAAGATTTAAAACCAAGTAAAGGCTAGACTGTGCATTCTCAATGGGAGGTGATGTCACTCCCGAGGGGATGAAAGTTGGTTTTTGGTTGGAAGGCAATATCTTATTCTTTTTATGTACAAGGCATAGTTATATGTAAGTACATAAATGAAGTAGACCTGTGCTATTAAAATCTCAAGGGGGTGAGATTGGGGGAAAACGTCCTAAAAGGTTGATTTGATAGACAATAATGAAAAAATAGTTGAGAAACACAGGACTAGATTTCATTTTGCTTGAGACCCTACTGGGGAAATGTCTTAGTGCAAATTTAACTTGAACACTCTGCCCATTCTTTAATCAAAATTGTTCTAACACCTTAAATGGCACGGTACTTAAATATTCTTTCAAGTATATTTGTTAATTTGCTTTAGATATTATTGAATTTCAGTCACTAGAAAGAACAACCATCTTAGCTCTTTTAAGCTGAAATTGATTTAATGTAGGAAATTATTTTTGGAAGAGCTAGGGAACAGGTTCTAGAAAGAGCCTTCAAGAATGATGCCCATATCCACACTGCAGAACTGGCTCCTGGGGCAGTTGCTTCCTCTGCTGCACTTAGGAAAGTGGGAATCAGAACTTTGAACTTCAGGAAAATGCCTCTGTGATTCAGAGATGAGAAAGCAGTGTGATTGCTACTTCTTAAGTGATGTTTCCAGGGGGAACATTTTGGCATTTGGCTGTTTCTTCTGCTGCAGGAGTGGTTAGCATCCCTGAACTCTGGGCACTGAATGACAGTAGCCCCCACAACCAAAAGAATACCTTCATGTTTCTACCCCTGATTGAGAGATGCCGCTAAGGAGTCACACGATACGTCCTGGGTCCACATTGGCAGCCCATTCTGACAAAAAATACATGTCTCACCATTCTTGACACCCGGTATCTTCAAAAGATGTTGAAATAGTGGGGGATGAGGGGAGAAAGAAGAAAGAAATTTATCTCTGTAGTCTCAGAGCTGACTGTGTGTACCAGGTGGAAATAGCTGAAGCAGCAAAAACATGGCTTTCTAATTGGCATCTGGTTGGCAAGATCTAAATTCCATCTGTTTGTTTTAGCCCTTTTGGTTTCTGTAGTACAGAAAGCACAGAAAAATTTAGAATGGAGGTTGAGTGCCAATCTACCCTATTCGTTATAGTTATTTATTGTATTTAAGTCAGTGGTTAGAGTTATGGGTGATAGTGAAGTCATCTTTATCCTGTTTATCCTTATCCATAGAAACTTTAAAAAATGGTATGTCATTGAGATTTCCAGATATTTTTCCAGGAACAGAGATGGACTTTCCACGATCTTTCAGTATCTGTTTATGTCCTGTATTATCAAAAAGAGTAAAAATTTGATCTTGCCTAGGGTAGAGTAGAAGTAGGAAGGGCAGAAGAACTTTTACTCTTTTAATATATAGAGCACAGATATACTATACAGGACATAAACAGATACACAGTGTATATATGGTATTAAAGTATGGGAGCAGGGCGTTGTGGTGGGAGCATGTAGTCCCAGCTACTTGGGAGGCTGAGGCAAGAGAATTGCCTAAGCCCAGGAGGTGGAGATTGCTGTGAACTGTGACACCATGGCACTCCACTGAGGGCGACAAAGTAAGACTGTCTCATAAAAAAAATTTTTGACTGTGTATTTTTATGTATTTGATAAAGTTATTTAGCGGAACACACATTTTCTCTTAGAAGAGTTTGAAACCCAAATGAGACTCTGTCTCAAAAAAAAATGTTTTAAAATATAATCCCTGGATATGTGATGCTTGCAGACATTCTTGTTATAAATGAGGAAAATGCCACTTTGGAAAAAGTTAAATATTCTAATTTGCTGTGATTCTATACTCAAACCTTCAAAAGTACATATTAAGAGTAAAAACACCTTAGTTTAGGGTAGGAATGGAGAAATGATATTATTGATTGATTGATTAAGAAAGGGTCTTACTCTGTCGCCCTGTGTAGAGCGCTGTGGTATCAGAACTCACAGCAACCTCAAACTCTTAGGCTCAAGAGATCCTCTTTTTTTTTTTTTTTTTTTTTGAGACAGAGCCTCAAGCTGTCCCCCTGGGTAGAGTGCCATGGCATCTCAGCTCACAGCAACCTCCAACTCCTGGGCTCAAGTGAGTCTCCTGCCTCCGCCTCCCAAGTAGCTGGGACCACAGGCGCCCGCCACAACGCCCGGCTATTTTTTGGTTGCAGCCGTCATTGTTGTTTGGCGGGTCCGGGCTGGGGATTAGAACCCGCCACCCTAGGTGTACGTGGCTGGCGCCTTAGCCGGTTGAGCTATAGGCGCCGAGCCAAGAGATCCTCTTGCCTCAGCTTCCCGAGTAGCTGGGACTACACATGCCTACCACCACCCAGGCTACTTTTTCTGTTTTTGGTAGAGTTGAGGTGTTTCTCTTGCTCAGGCTGGTCTCCACCTCCTGAGCTTAGGCGATCCTGAGTGTTAGGATTACAGGTGTGAGCCACCGCATTGGTGGAGAAATGTAAAATGAAATAAAAATTTCTGGGATTATTGGTAATGAAGTTTTAATGAACTTCACTCATAATCATTTCCCTGCAATTGACTTCATATGATCTTTTACTCTCTTGAATAAACATCTCATGAAGAAAGCATTATGAACTTAATGCATAATTATCAAATTGCCCAGTAGGGCTTCATTGTAATCCAAGTACTATTTCCCTGTCAGACAGATTTATAATGTTTAAGTCATGCCAGAACAGGACTAGGACATTCATTTAAAAAATTCACTAACAATATGTTTTTTCTTTAGAATGAAGACCTAGTTTGTTTCAAAGATATCAAACCTGCAGTACCTAATCATTATCTTGTAGTGCCAAAAAAGCATATGGGAAACTGCAAAGAGCTAAAGAAAGATCAAATAGAACTGGGTAAGACGATGGCAGTATTCTTCATTGTTATATATCACGTTGAATTGGTATCAGGAATGGCAGTGAAGATTCAGAAGAAAAAGTCTCTCTAGATATTATGAAAAGGGAGCATTCTGGGTTTTTAAAAAAAATTCATATTAAAATATTTTGAATTTATGCAGAAATAAAGAAAATGGTGTAATTTCCATGTATTTGTCACTCAACTTCCACATTTATTAACTCATGGACAATTTTTTTTTAACATATTAGCCTTCTCCCATAGTGGATTTAAAGCAGATCCTAGGCATCATGCTATTTAATCTTTGTAATCTCCAGAAGATAATATCTTTTATGATTTTTTAAATGATGGCTTTTCTTGACTCTGAAATGAAAGGTGCTATTAAAAATTGTAAATAAACAAGATATGATATGATATATGGTCTTGTATTGCTTTGGTACTTGTAGTCTTCTATATGAAGATGAATTAGCACCAAAATTTAAATTTTAGTGATGAAATTTTAGTTTCTGAAAAGGAGACTGTGAATCTTTTCTATTGTAGAATTATTCTGCATTTTTCTACACATGCTTTCTGTGACTTGTCACTTGTCATTTTACGACATTTCTTTTTCTTTCTTTTTTTTTGAGACAGAGTCTCACTATGTCACCCTCAGTAGAGCGCTGTGACATCATAGCTCACAGCAACCTCAAACTCTTGGGCTTAAGTGATTCTCTTGCCTCTGCCTCCCAAGCAGAGCTGGGATTATAGGCGCCTGCCACAACTATCTTTTGTTGCAGTTGTCATTGTTGTTTAGCTGGCCCGGGCTAGGTTGGAACCCGCCAGCCTCAGTGTATGTGGCTGATGCCATAACCACTGTGCTAAGGGCACTGAGCTATTTTACGACATTTCTAAGTTCACTTCAAATCTGCTTTGGCAGGCTTTGTAACCAAGGGCTGAGATTAATTTGATAAATACTTCAAAGTAAGGCTACAAGATAGATAAATTGGGCCAGAGTTTTAAAAGATGAGCAACCTTTTTCTTGGAAAACCTTGATGTGTAATTTCTAGGCTACTAAATTAACAGTTTTTAAACTGTTAATGCTGACAACTACAAAACTTGTTAGTCCTCTGAAGTTTTGTTAGTGCATTTTAGAGCATACATGATTTATAACTAGAGCAGTGGTTCTCAACCTATAGGTCCCAACCCCTTTGTAACAATGAAAATACATTGTGGCATTAGGAAGGTTGAGAACCACTGAACTAGAGGGTAGCTTTTGAGCTTATAGAGATCAGTTTGACTTCGATTTACCTGACTGATTGAAACACTTCTTTCTTATTTTAAAGAAATAAAATTTCTATTCCTATTTTCATTCTTAAAATTATTTCTTAGAGACCGTACTTTAGCTTTTTAGGACTTTCTCAGTTTATCTTCAAATTAGAGTTAGGTTTGTAGAGAATAGAGACTGCTCTTTAACTAGTTTTTATAAATGTTGCAAATCAAATGTCACTAGTTTTGGAGCAGCTGGCAATGTATTTTGGATTTCATATTTTTCTCTCTGCTTTTGTATGTATTTGAATATTTTCATGATAAAAGTTACAAATTAATGATTTTTATGTAATCTATAAATGGGGGAAATAATAAGCATATAGAAGAACTCAATAACACTACCATGTACCATTAGTCTAACTGACATTTGTAGAACTCTGGATAACTACAGAATGTACATTTTTTTTTTTTTTTTTGAGACGGAGCCTCAAGCTATCCCCCTGGGTAGAGTGCCATGGCATCATGCTCACAGCAACCTCCAACTCCTGGGCTCAAGCGAGTCTCCTGCCTCAGCCTCCCAAGTAGCTGGGACTACAGGCGCCCGCCACAACGCCTGGCCATTTTTTGGTTGCAGCCATTATTGTTGTTTGGCGGGCCCGGGCTGGGGATTCGAACCCGCCACCTTAGGTGTATGTGGCTGGCGCCTTAGCGGCTTGAGCCACAGGCGCCGAGCCCAGAATGTACATTTTTAAAAAATCATGTTTACCAAGGTTGGCCATATTCTGAGCAATAAAGTAAGGCTCAAAACATTTCAAATTATTGAACTCTTAAAAAGTATGTTTTGTGAAGACAATGGAATTAAATTAGAAAAATAAAACATATCTCAAATAGCGCTATATAAACAACATTTAAATAAATAGGATAAAGAAGAAAATAGTTTGGGTTGACTGGTAATAAAAATACCATATGTCAGAATTTGTAGGATACAGCTAACGCAGTGCATAGATGAAAATTTATAGCTTTGTTGTGGTGAGACATTTATACTCTATCCTTAATAGTTTTGAAATGTATCATGGCATTATGCACATTAGATGAGGTCTCCCCAAATACCCTCCCTCCTCTTGGCTTCCAAATAAGTAAGCAAGGAGATGGTTATATTAATCAGTTAGATGTAAGCATTCCAAATTGTATATCAAATCAGCATATTGTACCCCATAAATTCATTAATGTACACAGTTATGATTTAATAAAGAAAAAAGGAAAATTTATAGCTTTAAATACTTATATTAGAAAAAGAGGTTTAAAATCAATGATCTAAGTTTCCATGTAAGATACTAGAAAGAGAAGCAAGTCAACCAAAATAAGTGTAAAGGAGAAAATAATAAAGAGTAGATATCAATGAAATAAAGAGGATACTATAGGCTTTGCTCCACATATTTTAATATGATTTTAAGTGAATATATAATTGTCATTGTATGATTGTTATGTCTTCTTAATGAATTGACACTTTTATATTTATCCATAAGACAACATAAGTATATTTTAAAGAAAAAAGATACAGTCTGGCTTGAAGTCATTTGGGAGCTTTTTTGAACCATATGGTACTCGCCTAGTCACAGAAGTCTGGCAGTCTCCCAGCTGAATTCTCACTTAAACATTAATGACAATTTTATAAGCCTCTATATAGGACCGTTTTCTGTAGATTCTTTTAGTTCTTCCTTTTTCAAATGCATGACTGCACCATTCAGAAACAAAGAAGGATAAAGGTTTGGCATTATACTTTGAAGATCCCAGGTTACCAGCATTTTTCTAGTGGGGAGGTTTATTCCCATCTGAAACACCAAGAGACAAAAGGCAGAAAGGCTTTGGTTTGGAAGCCAAAGCCGTTATATAAATGTTTGGCTAGTCAAGACTAGGCTTACATGAAGGGAAATCATATCCTTAATTTGGGCTCAAAGAGAAATTCAGAGTTTTCCTGTCTTTCTTATTAATTCAGACAATATCTGTTTAATTTCCTAGTTTCTTTATGATTAGAGTTAGTCCTCAGTATGACTGGATGTCCTAAATTGCCACTGGATCATACTTCTTAACAGCTGTCTAAAGTCCGCCTACGTATGATATTTTGTGATACTGATGCCCTGGGGCTCAGTGTGAAACTTCATTTCAGCTGCTGATAAGCAAACTTCTCAGTAACCTGAGATATTGAATGTGTCTTTTAAACATTTACCGCCTTGATCCGACTTTTGACTAGGACCCTAAATGTTAAGATTAGTAGCAGTTTTGTGAACATAACGTCTCCAAATGGATAACGTAATTTCTTTCTTGTTTTGCAGTTGAGGACATGGTAACTGTTGGAAAGACCATTCTTGAACGGAATAATTTCACTGACTTAACAAATGTGAGGTACGAATACTTCAAGGTAGAAACAAAATATTATACATTATAGACATTTTTAAACTGTTCATTCTTTATGGAAAGTGGAAGCAGCAGTGTCAGAGTTTGTGGTTTAAATGTAGTTTCCCTGAAAATAAGAATATAGTTCATTGGTAGTATAAATATAACATCTTCCTCTCTTGTCTCAACAGCTTCCACTAATTCTCATTTATAGTTTAGATAAACAAGTACATACATGTACAGTCGCTAGGCAAAAGACAGAGGGTGCCAAAAATAAGTATATACATTTTAAGAAAGGAAAAAACTGTTTTAAAATTCTAATACTGAATGTGTACCCATAACAAAAGATGAATACAAGTCACTTTTGACTTCTGCGTTTAGGAGGTGCTCAAAGTGGCACCAGCGTCCAGACCCTTCTGATTATGGTGAATTGCTGCTTGAAAAACACTGACCAAAGTGTCCACTTGTATGGCTACACATGTGGTTTTAATTTCTTCCCCAAGTACAACCAGTGTAGCTGGTTTTCTATAGTATCTCACATCCTTTAAGGCACCTCACACTCACACCTCCATTGTCATTGTACTTCCACAGTGTTTTTTTGTTTGTTTTGAAACAGAGTCTCACTCTGTCACCCTGAGTGCCATGGTGTATAGCTTACAGCAACCTCAAACTCTTAGGCGCAATTGATCCTCTTTGCCTCAGCCTTCTGACTAGCTGAAACTACTTGCACCCACCACAATGTCTGTTTAATTTTTCTATTTTTAGTAGAGATAGGGGCTCACTCTTGTTCAGGCTGATCTCCAACTTCTGAGCTCAAGCAATCCAACCAGCTTCAGTCTCCCAGAGTACTAGAATTACAGGTGTGAGCCACTGCACCCTGCCTCTCCATAATGTTCTTGAATTTCAAATACCACTTCTAAGTGTCTTGCCCTTCTCCAACAAAGGACAACTGTGCTTCTGCCATTTTCTTTGTCCTGCCTGTTGCATGGTGATGCTAGCATTCATGTGATTAATGTCATTTTTTTTTTTTTTCAGTTTTTGGCTGGGGCTGGGTTTGAATCCATCACCTCCGGCATGTGGGGCTGGTGCCCTAATCCTTTGAGCCACATGCGCCACCCCTAATTAATACCATCTTTTAAGTGAACCTCATACTACATGTTGTTTCTGTAATTCAGTTCAACTTCAGAAAGTAATACATAGATAACAGAGCTTAAAATGTGTATATATATCTTTGGCAACCCTAATAAGTCTATTTTTTCTTTGTTCAATATGTGCATTCTCATAAAATGGTAAGTTGAATTTTCTTAGAAAAACTTTTATGCAATTTAAAAATGAAATTCAACTTTAATTCATCAACTTTGCTTTGGTGGTACACACCAGTTTTGGAGCAAAAGCACATGATGTTCAATTTGTCAACCGTTTTAATTAATCTATGTGCAGTTTTTCTTTTAAAAAGATTTCTAACTTTGCTTGTGTGACCCATGCAGTACCAGGGAAGATATAGTGGAGATTACTTCTAACACTTTTGAACTGGAATTCACAGTAGAACTGAATTCTCATGCTCTCCATGCTGTTTGTTGTGTTTAGACAAGTCATTTAACCTCTCCAAGATAGTACCTGCTCTGCCACCTTATAGGCTCGAATGAGATTGCATATGTGAAAATTCTGTGAAAACCGTTACTTACCATCCAAGTAGATAATTACAAGGAACTGATTACCTTTGATGCCCTTTGGTCAGAAGCAGCACATTTTATTCCTAGTCATAGGAGTGCTCATTAGAAAAATGAACATTGGGAAAGGAGTCCAGAGCCAAGTCTCAATCCCAGTTCTACCACTGACTGACTTTGTGACCCTGGGAAGTATCTTAACCTCTTTGGATCTTGGCTTTCACATCTCTAAAATGAAAGGGGTGGGTGAAGCATTGAGTTGCTTCTAGTTTCTAGATTACTTGATTCTACATTATATGGCTCTGTTTCACAGAAGGAAAAAATTTAGTCTTCTATTCTACCTACTGGTAGAAGCTTTGGCGTATGTACTGCATATATGACTCCACACTGTTAGTCCCAGAGGATCATACTGCCGTATAACACTTCTCCTGTGTCTCCTTTCCACACTCTGACTCACTTTTACTTTAAACATGCAAATATTTCTAGGCTTTATTATTGTTGCAGGTGTGTCTTGCACCATTCAGCATAGGTGGACTTGCAAAACTGTTTGTAAACTAATTTTTTTTGGGGGGGGGGCAGAGCTGGGTTTGAACTGACCACCTCTGGCATATGGGGCTGGCGCCGTACCCTTTTGAGCCACAGGTGCTGCCCTGTAAACTTAAGTTTCAAGAGGTTAAATCATACTTTAAAAATACTTTTTTACCATTAAAAGGAATTCTCTTAGAAAATTTTATAAGGCAGATAATTTTGAATAATTATCATTTAACTTATTTTAAGTATTAAGAAACTTAAAAGATGATAAAGTTTTTTATGATGATGTAATCTTACTACTGAAATGCTGTTGATTGGTAAGAAAATGCCTAAGTGCTTTCTTAAAGGGAAAAGCACGCCATCTATTGGCTGTGTCATACAATAAAGGAACACTACTATTTGAATGTCCAGTGATTTTTAAGTTCAGTACAGAAGCGTATTTTAGGAGAATTAAAGCATAATAGGATAAGGACTGAAGTGATAAGACATTATGCCAATTTAGAATTCATAAGGATTATACTGAGGCATACTATGTTACTAAGGCCTTCCTTGGTTACAAATTTATGTTCCTGTGAACTTTTAATATGAAAAGAAGAGAAAGTGAGTAAATACTCTGCAGTCCATAAAGAAAAACTATAAAAGAGATTTGTCAGTAATAATCTATCTGCTTAAGGTACCTGTTTTGGATATCTGTAATATTTCTATATTTTCATCTGAAAAAATGTGGAAACTATTATGGAAGTGATTTCAGTCATCTCTTACCTTTCTGTTTTAGGATGGGTTTCCATATTCCACCATTCTGTTCCATTTCCCACCTGCATCTTCATGTTCTGGCACCAGTCAGTCAGCTTGGCTTCTTCTCCAGTTTGGTTTATAGAGTCAATTCCTATTGGTTTATCACAGTAAGTGTTATTTCTATGTCCATAGCTTACAAAAATACTTAAAATATTTGCTCTTTTTGTTGCAGTTTTTCTTTCCTTGGCAGCAGCTCTTACAGATTTGATCACTTGTATTAACATATGGCTTGTACATATCCAAAGTAATAGTTTTTTTTTTTTTTTTTTTGAGACAGAGTCTCACCTTGTTGCCCTCTGTAGAGGACTGTGGTGTCATAGCTCCCAGCAACCTCAAACTCTTAGGCTCAAGTGATTCTCGTGCCTCAGCCTCCTGAGTAGCTGGGTCTACAGACTCCCACCACAACACTTGGCTATTTTAAGAGGTAGAGGTCGCGCTCTGGCTAAGGCCTGCTCAAACCTGTGAGCTCAGGCAGTCCATCTACCTTGGCCTCCCATAGTGCTACCGTGCCTGGCCCTAAAATAATAGTTTTGATTTGTGGCATTTTCCAGGTCATCAGATCAGTAGGAAGAAAAGCTATGACTAAAGCATCCTAATTCGTAAGCTGGGGATACGATATAGAAGAACCAGGGTATTCAGAGTTGAAACTTTGGATTCGGAGCTGGATTCAAATTGTGGCTCCATTACTTACTTGAAGGATCCATGTGAAAGTTAAATTCCTTATGTGAGTCAATGAGATACTTTATGTGCAAAGCATTTAAGACAGTATCTTGCAGATAGTAAGTATTCAATAAATGTTATCTGATGCCTCTATAAGGTCTGATGGTTAAGTTCATGGACTCATCCTAGAAAAAGTGCTGTGTACCTCATTGCTGAGTATCACTATCATCACCTTTGAAGTACTCCCCTTGGGAAGCTGTACACCTTTGGAATTCTTTTTCTGGAATAGCCATCATGGCTGTTGTCACATGGCCCACAAAAACATGTAACATTGTAATGAACCCCACTCAGAGAGACACTGCCACATACTGACATTAACACAGCCGTGAGACACTGATATATCAAGGTGATGAAACCTTACTGAATTGTTTGTATAGTGCTGCCACATACCTGCATGGTGGCAAGTTTGTAAACTTAGTTGTCACACTGCCTATCATGACAGCTTTGAGGGTTGTTCTAGAAAAAGAGTTCCAAAATTGCTTTGAAGGGTGGACTAGGTACTGGCATCTGTGCATAGCTTCCCAAGGGAGTATTTTGAAAGTGATCATAGTGATATTCAGCCCTGAGATATGTAGCACTTTTGGGGGATGATTTCTTGTACTTACACATCATCATAATCAGCATCATTATAGAACTTAAGTGTTTATATTTTTTAATAGTTTAAACACTTTAGAAAAAGGGCTGTAGTAGTGGCATCAATTGCCAAATCTGAAGATAAAGCTTTGAGCCTAAAAAATGGCAGAATCCTGCTTTGCTGAGGCAAAAGTGGATTGGAATTCAGCTGTTTATAAGCTTGTAGTCTGAAAGCTAAGCCTCAGTGATCAAGTGACTCCAGTCCCTCTAAGGCCACTTGATCAGTAATTTATTAGGCTATTTATGTGTCCATGATGGTAAGGTGACCTATAGTTACTCTAGCTGAATAATCATTGGGTATTATTTATCATTGGCTAATAATATTTCTAGTCATAGTACATAAGAATTGAAAAAGTATGTGATTTCTAGCAACTTCATATTTCTTTTTTTTTTTTTGAGACGGAGCCTCAAACTGTCCCCCTGGGTAGAGTGCTGTGGCATCACTCACAGCAATCTCCAACTCCTGGGCTCAAGTGAGTCTCCTGCCTCCGCCTCCCAAGTAGCTGGGACCACAGGCGCCCGCCACAAAGCCTGGCTATATTTATATATTTTTTTTTGGTTGCAGCCATCATTGTTGTTTGGTGGGCCCGGGCTGGATTCGAACCCGCCACCTTAGGTGTATGTGGCTGGCGCCTTAGCCACTTGAGCCACAGGCGCCGAGCCGCAACTTCATATTTCAAAATACTATCCTACTCTCGCAACTTGTCCAGATGATTTTATTTAAATAATATACATTTAAGATATATATACATTTACATGTGTATATGTATTTGAAATTTAAAAAGTGGGACATTCTGTAGAATAGTTGCTTTGGTTTCCTTAAAAAAGTCTGTATAATAGACAAGGGACTTTTTTCCTATTTGTATTTCTAATTTTCTATAAGATCTATACCTCTATGATAAAATTAATGCACATACATTTTTGTAGTGTTTTTAACTGTATTTCTTACATGAAAGACTTTTTAGTAATAAAACATCAATGTACAAAATGATGACATCCATTAATGGGTCAACCTGGGAATCTGAACTCTTTTTAAATCTAGGACTTTGTCAGTATATGAGACTTTGAAAAAAATAAAGATAGATATTGAAGTTTATTCTAACTCTCATATAATGTTCTAGATTATGTAGGATAATTGAGAAAAAAACTCTGAATGATCAAACTCGAAGACTTTAGTTTACTTTTTTCTTTAAATGAACTTTAATTTTTTAGAGCACATTTAGGGTCATAGCAAAGTTGAGTGGAAAGTACAGAGTTCCTGTGTTCCCCCTCTGCACTATATCCTGCACCACAATGGTACACTTGTTATAACCAGTGAACCTACACTGATACATTGTTATCACCAGAGTTTTCCTTAGGGTCCCCTCTTGTACATTCTTGGGTTTCCACAAATGTATAACTATGTGTATCCACCAGTATTGTACAGAATGGTTTCACTGACCTAAACATCTTCTGTGCTATGCCTGTGCATCCTTCTTCCTCCTCTAACTTCTCCCAACCACTGATCTTTTATGTCTCCATAGTTTTGCTTTTTCCAGAAAGCCATATATTTGGAATCATACAGTATGTAGCCTTTTCAGATTGGCTTCTTTCTTTTAGTAATAAGCATTGAAGATTCTTCCATATCTACTTTACTTTTTGAATCTTTGGTAAAGATTATCTTATTGAAACTTTTTAATGGATTTTCAATGCAGATAACAATCAGCCTATACATATACAATATAGACCACCTTTACTGTAATGTATAAAACTGTTATACAGATTTTTGTAAGGTATTTTTAAGAACAAAGTATGTGGCACCTAGCTTTTCTGAGATGGCTTATTATAATGGGGATGGCAGCAGAATTATTTGATAAAGACTATGATATCTAGAATTTAAAAAGTGTGTACTTTTTAAATTACAGGCTGAACATTTGATTGAAAAACTAAGAAGATGAAAATGTCAACAGTGGAAGACTTTCCTAATCTTGGCTCAATATTAACTAATATTTTGATCCTTTTGATGTCTAATTGCAGTTTAAGGTTTGTTTGGTTGCATGAGAAGCTATTATTGAGTAGTTTTAAATTTTTTCTGATTATATTTTTCCTGATAATCTGTGACATAGTTACATGAATACTTGTCACTGACTTATAGGGTTTAATGGTTATCTGTCTAAAGATTTTGTATGTGTGATGCTACAGAAAAATCCCATTTAAAACAAATCCTGCTTATCAAGAAAGGTTTTGCATTTTTTAAAAGGTCAAAATATTTTAATTTTTCAGTAGTCAATTACAATAGCATTTACTTGGGAAGAATAAACATCTACAGGAAGTACTTTATTGGTACCTTTATTACAGTGAAAGAGAGAAAGAACTTAGCTATTTCTTGACAGTTCTACAGTTTTGTTTGTTTGTTTTTTGTTTTTGGCTGGGGCTGGGTTTGAACCCACTACCTTCAGCATATGGGGCCGGCGCCTTACTCCTTTGAGCCACAGTTGCCATCCTGACAGTACTACAGTTTTCATAAAAATTTTCAAAGGAATACCATACTACTCAGTGATCTGATCTTACAGATGAAAAGAATTATATGTGTGTCACTTTTTATCAAGTTTTAGGTACTGGTTTTTACTTCTTGAAACCTCATATTTTTTTTAATAAATTGGTCCTGAATGCTGTATAATATATATAACATAATGTCTAACAGTGAGTTTATAATAACTATCAAATATGCTATCAGAAGTCACTAATGGAATTTTGCCTGTAATAACATAAAAGAAAAACCAAGTGGTTCACAGAAACTGCTTTATAGCATTTTTTTTTAACCACAGGAAATTAGAATTACAAGTGGTTAAAGTTAGCTTTTTTTTCACAATCATGAAAAAAAAGCCTTATTTGAAAGTGAAGATAGATGCAGCTTTAGATGAGAAAATTATTTTAATGACGCAATGTTAACACTGATATTTCAACATCTGGGATCAATATTGTTTCATTTGTTCATTAATTTATTCATTTAGCAAACATTTATTGAGCACTTAATGTGTACCAGATACTGACGGATCAGGAAATGAAGGATGGAAATGAAAGAAATGAAAATGGAAAATCTGCCTACAATTGCTAATACAGGAGTCAGATAGAATTTAGTGTGTTAGGTGCCATAATGCTACAGAAGAGAATGTGGAAGGGAAGCACTTCTGAGAGCCGCTGGCAGTGGGACTGAGAGATGGAATGTTAGGTGAGTAGACAGTGACAGGTTAGGCTAAGAAACTCATTGTACTTTCCTTGAGTTCTACTTAGCCTATTATTTACAGTACAATTGACGTAAATGTCCAGATTTCATCTCATTCACTGAAGGTGAAGAGAGTGATTTGGAAATACGAGTCATGGGCTTTCAAGCTGTGATGCCACAGCACTCTATGGGGGGCCACTCTGTCTCAAAATAAATAAATAAATAAATAAATAAATAAGTTATGGGTTTTCAAAATTAGATTTGAAGATTCTCCAGTACTTTGTGACATAGCTCACTGAGCACTTACATAGATTAACAGCTACAAGTTTCTATGAATCAGAAATATGATTAACCTTAGAGAAGGACTTTTTAACAGATGCAACCATTGAATGTTTTACTATGTGAACTTACAGTAACAGAAGTGACAACATTTTAAAAATAACATGTAAAGTATTTAAGGAATTCTTAAATCCCTCAAAGTGTTACCATTACAAATCAAAGTATGATTGGAGACTGTAACTATGGGCAACTTTGGAATCCTAAATAAAAAATACAACATAAGTGTCAGCTGGATCTTTTGGGCGTTCTGTCTTCATGGTGGTATCCACGAGCAATATCACTGTAAGTATGAAACCTTTTTGAGTTTTCAGAAGAATCCACCCACACTTGGCATTTCGAGCATTTAATAACCAAACATTTACATGGCTATGAAAAAGTATTGTACAGCCCCTGCCATCTTGCTGTCTTTTCCTCTACTTTTCGCCTTGCCTTTGGAACACATTTATCTTACTTTGTCATTAGACATGTTTTAATTTTTCTGAAGCCTTCATTCTGGCCTGCATATGTGGCCCACAGGAAATCACCTAACTGAAGTAGGCTTATTTCAGATGTTTTCTCAGCTAAAGAGATTATCTTAAGATTAATTCTCAACCCAGCTGGCAAGAGAGAAATATTTTTGTATTACGTTCCTCAGAGAAAAATATTTGCAGCACTTTGAAAATTTATCACATAAATTCTCTCCCTAAAAGTGGGTAAGAAGACAACAAAACATGCAATTTATCTGTGCTACCAGGGGCTTTTGGGATGTGAAGCCCATTCATCCATCCCCTTTTTTCCCAGGAAGTTCTTCTTAAACCTTAGTGTGCTTCAGAACTACTCGGTGGACTTCTTTAAAACCAACTGCTAGACCTATCCCCACAATTTCTGATTCGGGGAGTTTGGGTGTCAGGAAAGATTTTGTATTTCTAAACGTTTTCCAGGTGATACTGGTGCTGCTTCTCCTAGGACCATAGTTTGATAATTCCTGCTATAGTGGTTCTAAGTTTTACGCACTAAAATTAACAACAGGGGAGCTTTTAAAAATCTTGGTCAGGCCACACCTCAGACAAATTAAATTTTAGTCTCCAAGGATGGATTCTAGTCCTCAGTGTTTAAAAAACTCCTCTGGTAATTCCAATGTGCAGCTAATTTTGAGAATCTGTGCAAAACCCCGAACCTGCAAAGCTGAAGCCTGGAGCAGAGTGGATAATATCCAGGTCTTGCTTAACCTTGTATTTGGAGCAGAGTAAAAGAAAAATGAAAGCTTTTTGGTGTCCTGCAATCTTAATCTCATTGCAGACCAAAGAATCAAGCTAAGGACTGATCCAGAGAGGCAATTATGGCGGGCCCTAAGTTAGGATCCTTTCAGAAAACTTTCTATTTCAGCCATTTGCTGAAGAGAATAAGAAGAGAATTCTCTAGTTTAGTTCAATCAAGCAGCCATATCATGTTTGCCTGGAAATGTATGGCCCTGAATTATTTGAATCATGGCAGCACTAGAGTTTGAGGATGACTAAGAGAGAATGCTGAATCTCTAGCTCATTTTCTTTCATGTTTTTTTCTGTGCACAGATCTTTCTTCACAGATACCAAATTAGAGGGCATAGGTTCCCCCAGGTTTGTTTGGGGCAGGTTGAAAGAATGGGATCTACTTTTCTCCATTTCTGGGGATCTTGCTTGTTGGAAATTTGACCTGGAGGACCTGAAATCATACTTAAATCAACTCTAGCTACTTAAGTCTGAATTCATATTCCTGATTATTTCCTACTAGCCTCAACAGTGAAGTGGCATGTTATAAACCAAAGCTCAAAATTCCTCTTTAATTCCTGGTCCTTACTTCCCAGAAATGGCCTCTGGTTTTCTAGTAATAGGCAGCTTATACCAGAGGCTTCAATGCTTGCATTAATAGCAGCCTCAAAGAAGGCGCCAAGTCTCTTAAGAAGCCTGCCCTAGAAAGAAGGAACATGGATGGGGCTTTAGATCAGTTCCCAAAAGTCAGACTATGAACCTCCTCATTTCTTATAGTACAAATGAAAAAAAAAAAGTCTCTAGATCGGGGTGTCCAATCTATGGTCTGCAGGTTGCACATGGCCCAGGATAGCTATGAATGTGGCCCAACACATGATCATAAACTTACTTAAAATATTAGAATTTTTTGTGACTTTTTATTTTGGTGGAAATGGGTTGTGCAGTTCTTAAGTGTGAACTTTGTAGATGATAATGTCCTATCATATAAAATAAACATACGCATGTTCTTGCTATTTGTACGCATACATTGCTTTAGTTTTATGGGGGTGGATAACATGCAGATATCATCATCATTTCCTTGTGAATTTCTTTTTTTTTTTTTTTTGAGACAGAGTCTATGTCGTCACCCTCAGAAGTGTGCTGTGGTGTCACAGCTCATAACAACCCCAAACTCTTGGGCTTAAGCCATTCTCTTGCCTCAGATTCCCAAGTAGCTGGGACTACAGGCGCCTGCCACAATGCCTGGCTGTGTTTTTGTTGTTGTTGTTGTTGTAGTTGTCATTGTTTGACAGGCCCAGGCTGAGTTCAAACCCACCAGCTCTGGTGTATGTGGCTGGCACCCTAGCTGTTGAGCTACAGGCACCAAGCCAATACTATGAAGTTCATAAAAATATTATCAAGTCATTTATGGTATCAAAAGCAAATTTGTGCCAGAATTTGACTTTACAGATTTTGCATTTTTAGTGGATTTAACTGCTCATTTAAATGAGTTAAATATGCATCTTCAAGGTGAAAACCAACTTACCAATATGATATTTTAAACTGTAACAGCATTCCAAATGAAACTAAAATTATGGGGAGCACAAGTTAAGGCAAACAATTTTATGCATTTGCTATGTTGGCAGCCCTGTGAACTGGGAAAAAATATGCAGCCTTGCTTTTTGATTTGGTGCAAGAATTTGAAAACATTTTAAAATTTCTGGGAAGATAACATTTTGGTGCATTTGTGACTCTATGTTCAGTCAACATAAATATGTTACTTGCCAATTCTTAAATAGAATATATAGTGCTGTAGTCTGACATTCAACTTATAGAAAAATTTGATTATGTCTCTTTGCTGGACTTTTACAAGTCCTATTTTCCCAGAGACAATTATCCCTGGCTTCACAATCATATCTTATTCCTATATTTTGGAAGCTCCTACATTTCTGAGCAACTATTTTCAAAAGTGAAGTACATTAAGAGTAAAATTATAACCAAAATATCTGATGTTCACTTTGAGAATTGAGAATTCTAACTGCTTCCATTGAACCAGATATTGTTCCAATTAGTTTCTCCAATACAGTCTTAATTATTCCATTAGTTTTATGTTGCCTACTTTTCTAATAAAAAATATTGAAAAACCCAAGACATTTTATTACTTAGATATGTACATTTTCTACATTAGTGATCACAAACTTTGGACCTGTTCAATGATTTTAAAAGACTCTCTGAACGCACCACTGCACAGTTAGGATTATTATATGAGGACTTTTTTTGCTTATCTTTGGTGGCAAAGACCATGAAAATTATACTTGGACATATTTATTTACTCATCAGCTTTTGGTAGTGTTTGTGTATTCTTTCAGTATGGCCCAGAGAAGCCAGAAACATCCCTGCTCTAGATGCCAATTTGACTACCAAAGTCCTTACTGTCCTACTTCTCCTTAATTGCTGTACTAAGTAACACTTGATGAGGCCTTGGAAGGCAGTTTAACTGGTTTCAGATTGGTTTCACACTAACCCTAGTGCCCTGCAGATGGTTAATCTTTACTTTCTCAGACCATGTATCCAACAGTTTGAGATTCTTAATGTATTTGCTCTCCTGCTCCTTTCTTGAGTGAAGATTTAGTATAGATTTAGTCCTGATCCTATAGCAAAGCATCCCAGGTGAAAAATCACTGAAACTTGATTCAAAGAGGATATTTTAGGCTCTGTTGTCTGTTATGTTGTCTCTACATGGAATCATATTAACATAGGCATGAAAGTCAGTAATTCTTTGATATTCCCTAAACAGCAGCCCCATCAAAATTCCATGTTTGGAAATTTTACTTAAGATTTGACAAATTTTGCATCATCCTTCTACTATTTCATTGGTTTTCTGTCCCACTTTGGCCTCTGTTTTTGAAGAGTAAACAACTTTTTCTTGTCTCAGAGTGTACTTTCATCTCTTTTTCTGAGCTTTGGGGCCAAGAGACTTCTATGCTCTTTAAGTTCACCTCAAGCGGACCTAAGAAATTTTCCTAACAAAGGTAGACCTTTTGCTAATAGGAATTCTCTCAGTTTAAGAAAAAAGTCTTCCCTAAATGTCATTTATTGGCCCCACTCAGTATGCCAGGCATTAATTAAAAATTTATAACATTATTCCATCTAATCCTTTTAACAATTCTTTGCTGTAGGTGCTATTATTTCACTTTTGATAAGGAAACAGGCTCAGAGAGGTTAAGACATTTGCTTAAGAAGATAACTGAGGATCTATGGATCTAAGTTGACATCCCAGCCTATTCTTACCACTAAGCATCAACCATGTTCCTGGAACATGGTGCTGGAGGTTCGTCAGATACTTACTTTTTTGAACTTTGCAGAGTTTCACAGTGGAATGCAAAAGAAATAGGTCTCAACACTGCAAAAGGCCCAGTACTCTCAAAAGCAATAGCATATATACATAGAATATACAATTAAAATGTATTTTATATATTGTTACCGTTAAATCTGTGCCAGTGTGAATAGTAAGAAACAACTTTCATTGATGGTTTTAATTTACAGTTGGCTGTGGATTAGTCGTGTTTGTCTAATAAATAATACACCCTAATGCGTATTATCGCAGACTTTTTGAGTGTTTGGTTTGTGTTAAGCACAGAATGAACCGTAAGAGATTATTTCGGTCCTAAAGCGCTTTTTCTAATCGGCATATAAAGCCTGTGGTTTTGAAAAGTTGTTGCAAAAATACGAAAGTATACTAAATGTTAAATGAGTGGTCCAGGGAGGTCAGACTCCAAAACCTAAGATGGTCGAAATCTCCATGGAAAAGGTAAAATGCAGTCCAGATTTGAAGAATTGTAGAGAAAGCTGGAAGTCTATTCCTGGTGGAACGGTCACTGGGGACTATAATGTTTTATTGTAATCTGCTCCTAAAAACAACGCTGCCCCTCGCACCAGCGGCTCCTAATCAGAGACCACAGCCTGACAGGTGAAGAAACACCGCCGACCTGGGTCTGCGGATCGGCCTCCGGGCGCGAGGAACGACGGGACAGCCCTTGCCTCGCCGTGCTTCCGTTTCCGGTCCACGGGCTCCGCCTCCAGGAGGGGCTGGGGCCCGGGCACAGCGCG